CGTGTATATTTCATATGAACGCAACTTTTGATGGAACAGATAGTTGAAAAAGTATTTGGATCTAAAAAAAATACTCTAAATGCCCGATTGGTTCGTCACTTTATTGTTTTGGTTCGCCTTAAATATCTAAAATACCTGTTCAGTTGACTGTCATACGCTTTTTTTTGTATGCTCATGGCCCCCAGAGGTTGAATCCTGTTGACTGTAGGGATCTATTTATATTTGCAACAGCACCACTCCGAGTTATTGACTGATTCTATAGTGAAGTAGAATGATACTCACACCTCTGAGTACAGTCTCCTTATGAAACTGAATTTAAATTTACCAGATTGCAATGTCCTATAAAGTAAAAAATAAACTCCTGGATCTGCCCCCTGAGCCAGATCTTCACTGAAATGTTATGGGTTCTTCCTTGACCCCGCAGCACATTCTTCCACAAAGTTTCATGAAATCCATTTGTTGTATTTGTATCTACTAGATGGATTGACACAAACGATTGTCCACATATAAAATCTTATCCTCTGGTCATCCCCTGACTTTTCATTCAATTCAATTTACTTCACATAAGCTCCCTCCTAGATCCCTTCTTTTTTCATCTGGCACCACAACAACTCCAATTTGTGAGTTTCCCATTACTTTGTAACTCAGCAGGCTCATCTTTACATTACTTTAGTGCTAATAATAAAAACATTAAAACGAAGAAGGTGATCCTGTTACCTGCTTAATAACAGCATGTCAGCACGCCGGTGTTACCATTTAGCTTAAATTTCATGTTTCAGTCGTGAGTTTGGATTTTGCTGTTAATCCCTCCTGTGTATTGGATGTTCCTACAGGCTCCATATTCCCTGCATACCGACCTTCTGACACAGTGTTCAAGATCACCTTCTGGCTCGGTTACTTCAACAGCTGCATCAACCCCATCATCTACCCGTGCTCCAACCAGGAGTTTAAGAAAGCTTTCCAGAGTTTACTTGGAGTTCGCTGTTTAAGAAGGACACCCAGACCCCACCATCATCATCTGAGTGCAGGTCAGAGTCAACCACAAGGTCACAGCAAGCCCCTCACGCTGGGCCCAGACAGCGGGGCGGCTCCCTGTCAGCTCAGCCCCTCCTCTTCCATGGCCCTGTTGAGGACCCCTTCCTCCAGGGACAGCAGAGACTGGAAGGCCTTTTCTGGAGGCTCCGCGAGTGGCTCGGGACCGGCCGAGACGAGCAGGGCGAAAGTGGCCAAATTCTGCAGCAAACGCTTCCACCAAACCTGCTGCTGCATTCTCAGCAGCGGGACCCCCCCGCAGGAGTCAAACTGCGCCCAGCCCCCTCCCGCAGGAAACCTTCCCACCATTAAAATCCACCAACTGTCCTTGTCGGAAAAAGGAGAGTCTGTGTGACCGCTGTAATCCTTCATCCATTAGTAACAACTCCCATTTCAAGGTCACAGATGCAAATACATTTCCTTTTTGTCCTGTTGACATCACAACTGTTGCTTTGACATTTAAAATGTTTAATGTCTCTGCCTTGATATCATTCTGTGGTTTTTGCTTGATGTGAGAAAATCTTCCAAAGAAATATCATAAGCACTATATGTTTCCGCTTCAAGAAGAAGGCGTTGTTAATGACAAACCTCCACAACACACAGCTTATCATTGATAATAAAGACTTCTTTTAAATCATAAAAGTAAAGCCAATGTCTACTCAGTTTTTGAAACAACCCTGTAAGCAACCGCTGATGTGGACCAAATGAAAAGAACCATATAGTAGAGAAGCTGTGAATTTTTTTTTCCTGAAGAGGACCAAAATATTCCTGGATGTTTACATATTTATATCACAGAGGAGCCATTTAAAATGTGTAAAAATGTAAATAGCAAAGTTTTATATATTGCATGATTTCTCCAAATGTTACTAAAAATGCTGGTCTGTGGTGCTCCCGTCGTTTGCCTATAATGCTGTTCCTGAGACGCTGTGTGCTTCCATGTCACATTACAATAAATTTGTATGACATATTCCTAACAAGAGATTCATGGCTTCATTTAAAAAAAACTCTTTGCTGGTGTTTCATAATTTTTTTGTGACGGGGCTGATTCACTAAATATACAGCCCCTAAAAACCGTTCTGGTCCATCCACATTCCCACAGTTGCATCTACCTCCGAGCAGTGCCAGATGGATGGCTTAATGTACTGGAATTTTAACTGACCTTGTGGTCGCTGACCTCAATCTTGACCAGCCCCCAAGCCTCTTAAAGAATCCTCTTGATTTAGAGATGTCACGTTAAGTCACAGTCTCAGACATTCTTCTCTCAGGCCGAACACTCCTTGTGTTTCTGTCTTTTTAAGTCACCATCCATGCTCAGTACACGCAGAGTCTTTATCACAGCCTCCCTCAAGACCTGTGCCGTGTTTGTAAGTGCAAAGGGGGGAACTAAGTGTGTTTACTGTGAGTTCAAGACTGGAGTGTCTCTCTGTATACGCAGATGCATCAAAGGGCAAGAGGACAACCTCTACCAGCTGTATTGATTTATTTTCTCTTGGCTACGCCCTCTGTTGTACCCAGATGTACTCCTTTTGTGAGTCTCAGAGAGAGGGGCATTCAGTAGACCTCATTAAACCAACATCCTCCTTCAGCGCATTAAGTTCAGAGGTAAAAGTGGATTCGACAGGTCTCCCACGGGGGGCAGTGTGCTGTGCTTTGTCTGTATCCGCGACTGGTGTGTCTGTGAACCTGTAAATCACTCCATCTGTGCACGGATGCCATTAGGAGAGGAGCTAGAGCTGCAGCAGCAATAAACTACAGATGACACAGATAAGCTAATTCACCCATCCCTCTACTTGGGCTGCAAATACCTATGCACCAAGTTTCATCAAGATATATCATCTTCCAAATGCAATAGCAGTAATGAATCCCATAATTTGATATGCAACCCTGCAGGAGGCAGTTATAGACTGGAGCAGAGCAAGAACAGCGCTCCTGTGTTTCACTGGCATTCCCTGATTTTACCCTGCAGCCTGATTTTATGTATTCACAGTGAAATGATCAATACGTGTAAAATCTACACCTCCTCTGTATTCCTTTCTAATGCATTTGTTCTGGTGGATGGAGACTGAACCCATAATCCCTGATTCTCCACATTCACATTTTTTATTTCTGAGTCTGATCCCTCGCAGTTACTTCACCATAGTAGAGATAGAAAGAAAGAAAGATGGTGTCACTAAGCTTTAAAACAATCACTGTAAACCACCACATTCCCTGCACATCCAACCTGCAGTGACAACATCCCAGATTCATTCATTAAAAATTACAGTACAACAGTTGTAATTATGATACATCTGAAATTAAGGATACATGAAAATTTAATTAAATAGTAATTAACCAAAGAA